GGTTTGTTAACTTGTCTTTGGACCAAGTTATCACTTCCTAAACCCAAATGAGTGTCTGCAGACAGTCCCCAGCAGCATGGAAACAGGTGAAAGTGAGGTAAGTCTTGATACACAGATGGGAACAATGGAGAGGACTCACTTAGAATTGTGGATTTTAAGCCTAAGCAAACTGGTACCCATTGATCTGTAAACTACAAGCATTCTCACAACAGCCACCCCTGCCAGGTGCAGCCCTTTAGGCTCCTGTGGAATTCTACATCTCAGATCATGGGAGAAGATTTTACCGAGGGGGTCAAAGCATCGAACATCAGGACGAACAAAAGGAGAAGACCGAGGTATGGAGCCTCCTCTGCCTTCCTATCACAGAGAAGATCGTGAGGACCAGAGAACTGCTCTTTTGTCTTCTCCTGTGAAACGTTTAAAAGCGATCTTGTCAATGGGCGGGGGGATGGGGGCACTGGGAGTGGGGGGACTAGAAAGTCTCTTTAGTATCCTAAAGCTGAGTCACTTGTCCAGGACATGAATAACCCAATCTTGTGGACCATCACACTCTTCATGTCTGTCATCAATCACGAGAGTAAGTGAGTTTGGGGACAGCTTCTCCAGCTGAAGAATGGGATGGGACGGGCACAGTCCATAAATTTCCCGAAGCTCACAATGAGTTCCCAGGTCACTTAAAGTCAGTCCCATCAACTGCACAGCAACTGGCCAGCAACAATGGAGGGGAACAAGGCAAACACAGCTGAATTGGTTACTCTACCTGTTGCTGTAGCAAAATGACTGATGGAAACAATTTAAGAAAGAAAGGGTTTCTTTGGGCTTGAGTACAATCTGTCATGGCGAAGCCATGGTGACAGAAATGTAAAGTGGTTGGTCACATTGCAGCCACAGGAAGCAGATATAAGTGAGGTTTAGCTATCCAACATCAAGGTCTCCCCACAGTGGCCCCACCTACACTCTCAAGACTACGGCATAAAGATACTACCACCTTCCAAAACAGTTACCATCAGCTAGGGACCACATACAAGACGCTTTGTAGGGCATGTCCTGTTTGGAGCAAATTATCCATCTTCCTGGTTAAAATTTTAGGAGCTATTCATGCTAATCTGAGCCACAGTTCCAAAAGAAACACAACAAGCAAATGTGATAGCTGAGGTGAGTATACTACAGAGCAATGTATGACGGTGTTGATATTTACAAAGGGTATCAAGAAGGGCTAGGCTAACTCCCGGAAGGAGTCACCATTCTTAAGTCTTAAACGGTAAAGGGAGAAGGGTTAACCACCCTCTGAGAGAGCTATAACCATGCTTCAATATGTTTGGTATAAGGACCCAGCTCTCTGCTCTCTAGCAGGCAGGAACCTGGGAGAATGCTCTGACCTCATTTCTCTACCCTCTAGTGTCCATTTGCTTGGGTTCACATTGGCCAAGCCCAACAATAAGGCAGAAGGCAAGAAGAATGGTAGACACCCACCCCCCCGGGCACCTAGAGAAGTTACATCTCTAGTAGACAAGGCCTAATGAGAAAATCCAGAGTGGGCATGACAGAAAAGGGGGAAATGGCCACACACAACGAATGGCAGAACCTAGGGGCAACCTTTTAGGGCCTAGCTTCAGGAGAGCAAGGGAATTAAGGATTCCCGGACTTGGGGTGGCCAGGGAGAGGTGATGAATGAGAAATTCATCAATTCTCAATACACGGAACAGAAAGAAATGGAACACCTTACAGAACTGTCTCTAAATATCCGAGGGACAGGAAAAGATAATGATTCCTAGTTTATTTTTTAAAAAGGCAGAATCTTTATCTGAAGAGCAGAAGAATTCAGCATAAAGAGAGAATGAAGATGAACAAATTGACTCCACTTGGGAACACAGAGCATTTTGAGTAGGAGCTGTCTATGGGACATGGCTGCCCCAGCCACTGTCAATTATAAATTCTAGAGAATTTCCTGGGTATCGATTCTCAGTTGAAAACTTTAGGAATGAGTGTTTGGACTCTTAAGATACTGTGAATCTCGTTTGTGACATTTTTTTCATCTCTTGTTGAAGAACCTGACTGCTATATTTACCATGAACCAGGGAGAATAGGGTCAAGAAAAGTGAAGCTGAAATGTTTACCTGTGATTAAAAAAAAAAAAACAAAACAAAAAAAAAAACAAAAAAAAACCTGCCTGGAGATCTCAGAATCACTGGGATTGCTCACATACTGATGCACCAAACTACCAGAGTTCACCATCAAATTAACCTCTTCCTAAACTCTCATGTGTTTCTCCCATGTTCAAAGGTACACTCTTCTTGAACAGGCAATCTACTCTTGAGTTGGTAACATTCTGGAAATACCCACCGCCACAGGTGTGGAGACTGGAGCGCTTTCACTACAAAGGTCCAACTAAATGATCAACTAACATCGAATCACCCCACATTTGATAAATGTGCCAAAAGTCAGGGAACGTGAAAAATAAGCAAATCACCATAAACTTTAATATCGGTGTTTTCCTTTCCCTTCCAAAACTAAAGCAACCACATGAAGCTAGGAAGTGGCAGTCTGCGGGCTTCACTCAGAAGCCTTTAAGTTCAAGAGAGGCCTGAGCAGGAAGCCTTAGCTCAGCACGCCCTGACGAGATGCCTTCCTCGCTGGCATGTCTCTCCCAAAGAAGCGGGAGACTAATGCCAGCCAAAACCTCTGTAAAAAGAAACCTTCGGACTAACAGGTTTTCAAAACTATTCTATATTGAGAAAAAACGTGCTGCCTCATAAAATTAAACGACTACCCCCAAACTCACTTCCCTATAAATTATAACATTAAATGTATTAAGGTAAAATTGGAATTTCATGTTTCCTGAGGTGGCCCTCTTGTTACTGACTCCATCTTTACTGTAATAGTCCATCCGCTTCCAGAGTCCAAGGCTGGACTAGTGATGAAATCGGCTGTAAAACTGCCAAGGGAAAGGGCAGGACAACTAAGGGCAGCTAAATGCATCTCCTCAAGGAGGAAACCACAACTACTCTTAGGAGAAATAAATGTGTTTGCAGTTTAGCCAGCACTAAACTGCAGGAATGCGCGCCATTCTAACCTCACAGAAGGTGGCTAGCTGCATTCCATTTCTCTGGAGTAAAGATCAAAAGGGAAAAAAGGGGGAAAAAATTAAACACTTTAATGAGTTTGGAAGTTAGTGGCTCATATTAAGTCTGGCAATAACTATGAATTGACTCTAGTCTCACTAATTGAACACATTCTAATACAGTCCTTTTAAAGTGGGGTTGAGCGTCAGAACCATGTTTCTGAGTTTAGACTTTGTAGTGAGAACTCAGTCAGTCCCTTGAAAAGGAAAAATCTCAAGAAAAAAGCAACAAATGACAGCCAGCCTGGAGAGACGGACGGACCATATGCGAATGAAAATAGGGAAGGCTTCTGAACACAGGTGGACCGTGGTAAGATTTGGGTTGTTTAAACAGTGAGAACACTTGAAGGGGAGACACAGTTATGAACCTACATAAATCAACATGGTAAATTTGCCCCGGAATGCAAGAGGAGAGAAGCCTATCATGGTAAACTGGTTGCTTTGTACAGGGTGGATCCAGTCAGGGAAAAGTACCATCCAAACACTAGTACCAAGAACACCAGGAGATGCCAAGACTCCCTGAACTTTTTGTCTTCGTTAGGGTTTCTACGCTGCCACAAAACTCCATGGCCAAAAAGCCAGTTGGGGAGGAAAGGGTTTATGTGGCTTCAACTTCTTTATTGCTGTTCATTTTGAGGGAAGTCAGGACAGGAACTCAAACAGGGCAGGAACCTGGAGGCAGGAGCTGATGCAGAGGCCATAGAGGAATACCACTTATTGGCTTGCATCCCCTGGCTTGCTCAGCCTGCTTTCTTAGAGAACCCAGGACCACCCACCATGGCCTGGTCCTTCTTCCATTGATCACTAATTGAGAAAACGTCTTACTGCTGGATCTCCTGGAGGCATTTCCTCAGCTGAGGCTCCTTCTTCTTTGATGACTCCAGCTTGTGTCAAGTTGACCCCAAACCAGCCAGTCCATTGTGCAATCTCTTTGGAAAGTTTTGAGGCCAACAGTGGTTTTAATTGTGTTTTATGCCTGGAAGAACTGAGCCCAGGGTGTCTGGATTTGACACTAAGTATCTTGCATATCAACCTCCAAGCAGGTAAACGCATGGTGTAGTGCATTCCACAGCCAAAGGAAGTATAGAACAACCAAAGAACCAAAATATGCAGGGTTGGGCTTGTCGCTCTGTGGTTAGAGCGATTGCTTAGCACTCGGGTGACCCTGGGGTCAATCTGTGCATTGCATGATTGCATGAAGTGATGTCATGCCTGCCTGCCCTTGTCCTTGATCATAAGCACTTGGAGGTGGAGGTAGGAGGACCAGGAATTCAAGGTCATCTTCAGCCTGGGTTTCTAAAGACCCTTTCAAAATAAACAAGGTGTGTGTGTGTGTGTGTGTGTGTGTGTGTGTGTGTGTGTATACACCTTGTTATAATGTATGTATATATATATATATATATATGCATGTATGTATGTATTAAGTTATATGTAATATGTGTTGTTTCTGTTTTTTTTGCTATGGAAGTTTCAAACACGTGCAAGAGGAGACAGTATTTTATTTAATAGTATTAACTATACAGCAATACCAATTCCATCCGCCTCCCTCTATATTATGGAGTAAGTTGCAGCCTGCCATCTCCATCACTAGCTAAATATGCATCTCTAAAATTCAGGTCAGCTTTTCCTTCTAAAGAGCACAATGCCATGGTAAGACTTTTAAAGGTTACAATATTGCTTAAGACCAACTATCAATAGCCAAAGCCCCAGTCATTTATCATTTCCCGGATATAGCCAGCCTTCTGCATCAACACTCTGAATTGCTTCTTAAGTAAATTTCTGTTTCCACTGTAATTCGAGCGGCAGGTGGCCTCACCCGGCCCCATGGGTGGGCGGGGCCTGGGCTCTGGTTCCGACTGCGACACTGGGTCCCACCCCGGTTGCCTAGGCGACGAGGGCTGCTTCCTCTAGCGGTAACATGGCAGGGTCGTCGGGAGCGACCCCAGGGGCGATGACCCCAGTGACTCCGGCAGGCAGCACAGCTGACTCTGAGGTATGCACCCCCTTCCTGTCCCGGACTGGGTCCTCGACTAATGCCAAAGTCACTCGTTGTCAAGGCCGCAGTCACCAGGAACGCAGTCACCTGCTAGTGGCCTATTGGCCAGGGGGCGGCTCTGAAACTCATTACACACCCTGGGGGCTTACACTGGAAAGTTCCGTGCTCCCACAGCCTCACAACCATGCAAATAGTCAACTAAAACCAAAAGAAGAAGAAGAAGAAAAAAAAACCAGCAATCTCTGATCTTAAAGGGGACCAGTCCCTTTCTGTAAGTGCCACTGATTGACTATGAAGATCACTCACAACTGATCAAAAGGTTCGGGAAAGGCTGCTGTTGTGATCTCAGCGGCTCGGTTTTAACCTCTGTTGTCACCAGGCCCTTTGCCAGGAGACAGGACCAAAAGACCCTGAAACCCTGAACTGAGAATCTGTTTCCGTTCCGGGCTCCCTGGTTCATCATGAACTTGTCCTTGGGGTGCCAGGGACCCCTTGTGTACACCAAGGTTTGTCCCGTTAAGGCCCCTTCTTAGCACCAAGTCTCAATAGGGGTTGGAGGGGCATTAAGTCATTTTGTCGTAGGCTTAATGTCTTGAAGGTCTATTTTTATTGTATTTTTACTGATTTGTGACTGGGTGGCTGGTTGGGTGGGTAAAAGCCTGAATGCCATTCGTTGTTCAGTGTGGAGGTCAGAGGACCATTTGGTGGTGTCCATGTGGGTCCCCGTGATGAAGCTCAGGTAGTCAGCCTTGGCAGCCAGTGCCGCCGTGCAGTGCTGAGATTTTAACCACAAGCAAATCAGCAAAGCCATGTGTGATATTTTTTTTTGAACGTTTAAATCTCCTCGCGAGTCTATCAAATACTGTTTCTAGGATGTTATTTTTCCTTCCTTTTTTAACAACTCCAAGGACTGAATAATGGAGTGTTAATTAGCATGGTTTTGTTCAGCCTCCGTATTAGTCTAAACAACACCCTTTGTGTAGAAGATAAGTGCTCGGTGCTGTTTCCACAGCCAGGAAGCGCAAAACCAATAATTTCACGCCTTCCTCTCTGACAAGCAAGCTAGTCCCTCTTCCAGGTTCTCCAATACAGCAGGCAGACCGCTAAGCCTCCAGGCTCTCCCATGAGCCTTTCCAAATAAAATTAGCATATGTTAAATGCACATTTTGACATGATAAACTGGGTTCCAAGCCCATCCCTCCCTTGTGATCGCTAATGTAAGTTAACGTAATTTTAAAACCAGCACAGGACTCTTTCCTATTCAATTTTGTGTCATTTGAACATATACAAGAATGTCTAAGACTGTATAGACTCCTTGAACACACACGAACTTACCAGTGGATGTAACGCCCTCTCTAAAACTAGCTAGTAGTTTCAAGTTTAATGAATCGGTATTTAAGAATATGTGTATGTGTGTGTACGTGTGTGTGTGTGTGTGTGTGTGTACATATTTCAATTTTTATTAACTCAATTGTTTAATTATTAAGTAACTGAAGAAATCCAGTTGCAACATGGACCCACTTAGCAGTACTCCTTGGCTAACAGTTAACACACGGAGTGGTGGACTCTCCATATTTTCACCCTATGAAACAGTTGTAGGACCTGCCATCTGGGCTGTCTAGGGACTTTGAGGTTAGAAAGAAAACACAGCAAAAGATACCTTTATACTCCATACCTAAGGCTGCTGAGGGAAAGACCCTTGGGTCAGATTTCCTATAGAGCTGACCCCTCACGGTTACCCGCGTTAGGCTTTCTTTTCTGGTAAATTCTGAATCTAAACTGAATCAGACAGAAGACCATCTAGTCATCTGAAGCATGCAAGAATGAAATATTTTTTGGGAGGGGGGGGGCAAGTCAATCAGACATAAAATGTAAGAGCCGAACGCCCATGGTTCCCCATGTGTTGGCGATGGACGACATCTAGAATAAAAACAGGTGACCCAGTCACACAGGAGGCACTCAAGCAATGATTGCAGCACATTAAAGCTACAGGCAGCCTGCCATGCGCCAGATGAGGTGGTCTCCCAGACTGCAGTCTATGCTGAGCAGCGGACATGGGGCACAGAACCAGGGAAGCAGACTTTGTGATGCTTCCCTGAGCTCTGTTTGCCAGCTTTCCAACTATGAGGTCCAGTTTCCTCTGTGATATGGGGCAAAAGACCTCCTTTTGAAATACAAGACTAAACTTTCAGCCTTTACTTGTATGACTGTACAAGGACGAAAGGAAACAAATAACAAAACTCAAAAGGAAAGGTTCTCTATGTATAGACCTGTGTGGAAATAGTTTATAAATAAATATCTGATTCAAATTCTACAGCCTCCTGGCCAGGTGGTTCATAAATTGACTTGCTTAGTCACTTCAAAAAGGTTAATTGATTGGTATTCTTCAAAGTAATATGATTTAGCTCACACCAGAGAACTAAAGGGAATGAACATGCTTCTGTCCCAATCACCTTTGCTGAATATGATTTTTTTTCATACTTATTTGTTTGTTTGTTTGTTTAACTTGTCAAGGCAGGGTTTCTCTGTGTAGTAATCCTGGCTGTCCTGCAGCTCTCTTTGTAGACCAGGCTGGCCTTGAACTCACAGAGATCCACCTGCCTTTACCTCCCAAGTGCTGGGATTAAAGGCATGCACCGCCAAGCCTGGCTCTGAATGTGATTCTTAATGTGTCCTAAACGGGTTGTGAACCCCACTGCGTCTGGGAATCCACTAGGATGCAGACATTACCTTATAAAGAAAGACACTGATGTTGACCGCAGAGACCATCAACATGTCCGTCTACACTAGGTGGTCCTCTGAGATGTTAAAAAACACATCCTATTGATAACGAGAAAACTCGGGCCCAACTTAAAGAGCTAACCTCTAAATTTCTGCATTCTTAGTATCATCCCAGAAGTTAATGTGTGGGGCAGGGTGTCTTACTAGGATGTGGATCTCATCAGTTCCCCAAGACCAAACCTCCCTACTGTTGGGACCCTTTAATACAGTTCCTCATGTTGTGGTAATCCCCTCAACCATGAAATTATTTTCGTTGCTACTTCATAACTGCAATTTTGCTACTGTTGTCAATCTTCATGTAAATACTTTTGGAGCTGGAAGTCTGTCAAGGAGGTCGAGACCTCAAGGCTGAGAACTGTTGTTCTAGACTCTCTGACTGTGGAGCTCCAGAGATCTGCCCATCTCGAACACGGGGGCTGTTAAAGCATACCTCCTTGCTGGCTTTTCATGTGAGTTTTGGGAATCTAAACTCAGGGCGTGGTAACTGTGTGGCAGGTACTTTACCCATCTCCCTAGCGCTTCAGCTGTCCACAATGTTATATCTTTTCTGTATTCTGCCTTTATATCTAGTTTGCGATGGTCCCTTAACTTCTTTCATCTGTCTGTATCCTCCCCTAAGAACACAAAAGTTACCCTGTAAAGTTCTAGGGAAAACCCCACTGGGGTTCAGAATTGTCTTTGCATTACATTCATTGTGTGAGAGGAATTGCATTTCTTGAATTTAAAGGAGCTTCTAATAAATTTCTTTTATCGTTTTTGTCATCCTTCAAGTTCTGACAAAGTTTTAGGATTTGGTTATAATTCTTATGCCTTTATTATATTCAGAACAAAGTATAATTTAATCAAGTTTTGGGGCATTTCCATTTCTAATTAGTTTCTCAAGAAGAGAAAAGAAACTGGCTTTGTGTATTTATACTATGTATAGCCATTTTACCCAGTTTCGGAGCTGGATGTTAGTACAATGTCAGCCTTCTTAAGGACACTATGATGTAATCTTCAAATAAAGGCCGTTTTGTTCCTTTGTGTCTACTGCTTAAGCCGCCGATTTCGTTTTCTTATCTTCTAACTGTAATAGAGGAGAAAGACTCCCACATTGACTTGCACTAAGGTTGCTAGTTGGGGCCTCATCTCCAGTTCTTGGTTCTAAAACATTGACTACTACCGCACCGTTTCGCACGATGGTGGCTGTTGGTTTTGGAGACAATCTGTCTAGCTCAGTTTTCTTTTTCCATTTATATTCCCATTTATATTGCTGCTGAGTTTAGGAAGGTACCTGCTGGGTCTTTATGTAACAGGCACAGAATGCGTGTTGAATTCGCTCAAAAACTCACGGCCCCTCTTGCAGTGATGGTTCTGTCCGGGTGATGGGCCATTATCCTTGAATCACAGTGGGACTCACGTTCGTAAGATCTAATTTGAACTCTGACCACAGCCCAAGTTCATTAGTGATTTGAGTTTCTATGTTCTCTTATTCTCCTTGTGCTTCTTTGGCTTCTATGCACATTCTAGATGGGCGGCTTTTTAAAAGACTGAACTGAACTCTGTCTTTTCCTTTCTTTTTTGGGGGGCAGGGGAAGATGTTGGTGTTTTGAGACAAGGTTTCTCTGTGTAGCCCTGGCTGTCCTGGAACTCACTCTGTAGTACAGGCCCGGCCTCAAACTCACAGAGCTCCACCTGCCTCTGCCTCGAGAGTACTGGGATCAAAGGCGTGTGCCGCCCGTGCCCAACCAAAACCAAACCAAACCAAACCAAACCTGAATTCTTGATAGCCTAAAATTGTTAACCTAGATTTTGATTAAATTTAGAACTTCAGGGATAATACTACACGGGCAAATTGACTTTGCAAAAGGTAGAATCCAGTTTGGATCCTGTTTGGTCAAATCAATTTTCTCCCTTTGGCCCGCTAAGTTTTAACAATTTATATCTTCCTAGGAAATCATCTGTTTCCTGGTATTCTCTAACGTTCTGTCCCCTGCTGTGGCAGACACTCACTTCCTTTATCCTCTAATCGTTCCAGAGAGCCGCCTTTCTAGTCACACTTTTAAGTAGCTAACTATTTTACTTGTTTTTTATTCCCTTAATTACATTTTTTTTCTTTTAAAAATAATTGGTTTCTGAGACCTGTAGGAAGATTATGATGAGGGAGGCGAGGCCCTGTCCGGCTTAGCGTCTAAGATGTGCTAGTACCTTGTCGATCCAGACAGGCGATGGTTCAAAGGAATACACTTGATAAAATCAAAGTGGGTGCAAGAAATAATGGAATGGATCAAATTTTAAAATAAAGACAGCGTCAATATCCCTGATTTCTCTTTTGCCTCTGACTTCAATACAGTTTAGGACAGCACTGTTCCTAAATTTATTTATGTTTAGGTTTGAGGAGGGAAAAACCCTTTCAAAATATGGCATTGGTGGACAAGCTCATGTTTCTTCTGATGAGGAAAACACTCTTTCCTAATCAGACAAATCTGCTGTCTTTCCTCTAACAAAGCTTCTTAGAGGCTCTCCTACATGAAGCACTACTGGTGCAGACATGGTCCTAAAAGCCCCGTGTTCTAGGAAGAAAGCGTGTTTACAAGTGTGGAGTGTTCCGAAGAGAAATCAGACAAAAGATTATCTAGTAAATAACAGGAGGCTTGAAATGTTGTTTTTGGAATAGATGCTAAAATCCAGGAGGAGGCAGGACTCAGTGAGCTAACAGGGCAGCTGTGTAGCCGCAGAGGTGCCAAGCAGGAGACAGGGCAACATCGAAAGCCCAGAGACAGGTGGGCAGTTTTAGCCTGTTATGAATTGTCGTTATATCTGTATGGCGTAGAGTTCAGAACATACGCACTGAAAGATCAAATGCTTTTAGTCACTTAATATACTTTCAAGTGCAAGGCAGCATAGAAATTAAAAAGGGAAGAAAGAAAGGAGGGGGAAGAAGGTTTCATTTAAGGTAGGCGCAGAAATATGCATTTTTCAAAACGCCGCTATTCCTAATGCTAATACTAATAAAAGAGGCAAGCTCTTTTATGCTGAAAAATGATTTTCTTAAACCCCCAAATTTTACTAAAAACCGTGGTGCTGATGTTGAGCATCGCTGCCAGAGCTCAGACTGTCACAGCCCTGATGATATTAGATTCCCTTTCATGGAGTTCTGTGTGATCTGATTCTTTTCTATCCAGAATTTTTCTTGTCAAGTAAATTGATCTGTATGTCAGTATCGTTCACGTTCCATGTACTACTTTCTCACTCCGACTTATCGTGCGGTCCTTGGAGTACCCAAACATTAAAAAAAAAAAAATGATCTTTTAAAGTCTGAATCCAAACTTGAGATCAAACGAGTTGTCTTGCATTTGTAAAATTAATCAGCAGTCCAACCACGACCTTATGTGCAGCTCCTCTAAGCTCCCAGTTCTTCAACACGCTCTGAGCAGCCGCACTGTCGTGGGACGAAGATAAAACTCAGCCATCCCTTAGCAACCCATATTGACTCAGCGGAGTTTGCAAAATGCCAAACAGAAAGGAAGACAAACACGTGTCTGAGGCACTCAAAACCTAAAAGGATTGTCAGTAGAGGAACAAGTGCAATTTAGTGCTAATAAGGGGAGTGCGTAGCCAAAACACACTTAAGCAAACAGAACACTGTGTCCCTGCCTAAAATGCTGTCTTCTACACGAATCCATCCATTTCATTGGATTTAGAAGTACCTGAGAGGCCAGCATGTGCAAAGTATATATGCTAGATGCTAAAATAACACATCTAATCAATCCTATGACCTACTTGAGTTGAATTTGCTCATCCTATAATAATCGTGTGGCAGCAGCCAGTCTATTAGGAAGCTATAAACACTGAACCAACAGCGATCGTGTTAGCTTTGAAATTTTCCCTTAGGAAGTAGTGGGACTAGTGCCGTAGATGAGTGAGCGAGGTGCTCGTGTAGCAGACAGAAAGGCCTGGACTTGAGCCCCAGCACCAACCAGCCATTGGTGGTGCACCTGTGGAATCCCAGCAGCGGGAAATGGAGGCAGGAGGGTCAGACATCCTCTGCTGCAGGGTGGGCTCCAGGCTATCTTGAGAGAGGCGGGAAGGGACATGATAATGGAGAGGTTATTAGCTACAGTTCTTTTATGTATCGGATCCTCTCATGGGCCTAGGTCAATCCCTGGTTGGTGAATTGAAATGCCTCCACCTATGCCCTTCCCCCAGCACCCCCCCTTCCCGACAAGCTCTGGTCCCTGTGCAGCTGCCTCTCATCTCCACTTCCGTCTTGATGCTCCACCCTTCTGTAAACTGGGACAGTCTGGTCCATTAGCCAAAACACCCTTCAACGTGACCTGCCTGACTCTGCCATTTCTAACTAATGCGTAAATATTTGCACCTTGCTCTGCACACTGAAATACCAACTCTACCGTTGAAAGAGGGAGGGCGTGTGTCGCTGTGAAAGAAGCTGAGCCTCCTGTTTCCGAGACCCCCAACCGTCCATCAAGACTGTGTACCAAGAATGTTTTTTTTTTTTTAATCCATCTCCCGCATCCTTTCATTTCCCGTTTTCCTCCTCTGCCACGGGTTGCAACTGTGTCCTGCCATTTAGCTGCTCAGAAATATCACACTACCCATCACCTGTACTGGTGACAGAAAACTCCCTAGCTCTCCATTCCTCGCTTGCCAGGGTCTAACAGTGCTGATTCCACACACAGTTGTCCCGCTTTGTAAAACTTCGGCAGGTATTCGTCATCTTCTTAGATTGCGGACCTCCCACAACACGTTGCAGTGCACACAGCCGACCAGACTCCATCTCATTTCTGGCGCCTGTCCTGGACACCGCTGGGAATTGCTCACTCGGGGCTCTGGTTATGTCAGTCCTGAAAGGCCATTCTCCATAAGGTCCATTCACATCCCTGTCCTTGTCTTTGCTTAGAGGCTGAATGCCCCCACTTCTTACAGCTCGTTTGTTATGGTTTTACTCCTTAGAAATATTCCTGTCCATTGTTTGAGAATTTCATAGTGTATACAATGTGCTCCATTCAACACCACCCCTACCCTTGTCCCCCACCTGTCCATCTCATGGTTTAGTCACCTTTACTACACAAGCACCCCAGTCAGTGAGCTACAGCACCAATCCTGCTGCTTTCTAGTGGAAAAATCCAAAGCTAACACAATCACTATTGGTTCAGTTTTTATAACTTAATATTAGATTCTTAAACTGATGCTGTACTATGTAGATGACCCGCTCACTCCCTCAGCCATTCAGTCTCAAAGAAACACACAGAGGTTTCTATCAGTTATAAACTGTTTGGCCTTTTAGCTCAGGCTTATTATTAACTAGTTCTCACAACTTAAATTAACCCATAATTCTTGTCTCTGTTTAGCAACATGACTTGGTACCTTTTCTCAGTAAGGCATTCTCATTTGCTTCCTGTGCATTTGGCTTGTGACTGACTCTCTGCCTTTCCTCTTCTCAGAATTCTCTTAGTTCAGTAGCCTCACCTACACTTCCTGCCTGGCTACTGGCCAATCAGTGTTTTATTAAACTAATACAAGTGACAAATCTTTAGAGTGTACAAGAAGATCATCCCACAGCAGCACTATTGACATAGGATGAGTAAATTAAGGACTTGATGTTGAGCTCCTGGAGGTGAACAAATCTCTTCATGCCTTTACCCTCTCTCGAGTCTGCAATTCAAAGGAAAATTTGTAGACAATCAGTGTCTGCTGAATTGCAGAGCAGCCCTTGGTTCTGCACATGCCCAAGGAGAGACTGCCTAACTGTGTGACTTCTCAGTGGAGAGCCACCACCACATGACAAACAGAAAAGAAAAACTGAGAATTTTATGTCATTGGAGATTAGTATGCAGAATATATGAATCAGGTAACTCATTCTGTTCTGTTTTGTTTTTAATAGAAACACACTGAATTCCAGGAGAATGAAAAGATTCTGTCTCAAGATTTTCTCTCTTCTGACCAGATCACTGACCTGCTGAAAGAGGCAGACATAGATGGAATTCAAGAGTAAGGACTCTAGAATTTTAGTAAAGTTTAATCAGTTCTAGCCCTTTATTACATTTGTTAATGTTGACCAAGAACCACCTGGATCTACCCTGTGCCCTCCCCTGTGTTTCATCTCTTCCATTCATGAAGCTGTCAATATGTCCAATAATCTAAGAGACATCCTTTTGTAACATTAATTAGATTAATATAATATAGCAAATATGTTAATAGCATTAATAGTCAGTTAGGGTCTTCTCTTAGTTTGGGTTGCTATTGCTGTGATCAAACACCATGAGGAAGCAGGATGGTGGTAGCACACACTTTTAATTCCAGCACTTGGAGGCAGAGGCAGTTGAATCTCTGTGAGTTCAAGGCCAGCCTGGTTTACAGAGCAAGTTCTAGGACAGTCAGAGCTACACACAGAAACCCTGTCTCAAAAAAACAAACAAACCAAAAGAACAAGGAGAAGGGGAAGAAGGGGAAGAAGAAGAAGAAGAAGAAGAAGAAGAAGAAGAAGAAGAAGAAGAAGAAGAAGAAGAAGAAGAAGAAGAAGAAGA